CTACAATACCTGCAAACTGAGTGTCTGAGAATGTAAGTGCAGGTCTGCTGGATAAACTGTAGCACCTGTTAGTTAATGAAGCCTCTGCTAAAGTCAACAGCAGAGGTGAAGTCAGAACAAAGCTCCTGTTATAAGTGACAGGTTCCTCCTGGTCCTACCTCTTGCATTCTATGCTGAGCACCATGGCAACCTGGTAAATATGTCATGGCATGATGCCATGATGTATTTACTCTAATTTCTACTTTCAGATCTGTGCCAGTTTCACATCCTTCTCCGATTGTGGCAGCTACATACACAGCTGAGAACTCAGAAGAAGCACGGAAAAGTTCCATCTTCACTCTGCAACATAGGGTAATTTGTGGACTAACTCAAATATTGTTTAAATAGATAGAAATGTTACACGCTGGACTTTGAATTAGGCGGCATGTAAAGACTGACCATCCAAGGGAGTTGAATTATATTTTTTACAATGCAGTCTCCCTCCTAAGTAGTCAAATACTACTGCTTGGTTCAGTAGACCTCCGGGCACTGTTGAAGTGAGGGAGTTGCAATCTGCAACTACTCCACTACTCCACTTTAAGTTACATCAGATATGTTACGTATGTTACGTTTTATTCATGTACTTAAATTCCATCAAATATGTAATAACGTTACTAAACCTATTCAAGTACCAAGTACTTTTTGTACCTAAACCTAACCTATCTATGACTATTTCTCAACTTTGACCATGTAAGCTTTATTTTAAATGTTATTTATTATTACTAACTAGCTGAGCCCTGTACGTCCAGAAATGACGCAAGATATTGTGAAGTGGAGGGCGGCAGTATTTGAACTGGTTGATTCTTTTTGTTGAGATCACTGCAGAAAAAGACGTACTGGTGACAAACTCCATTAGCTTCAATTGAAAGCTTTTTGCCATTGTTGTGGTTTGTTTGGAGTCTGCTGCTGACCTTACACACTAGCACCGCTTCTCATGTGCTTCATTGCAAGGAATGCAGGATGCGTGGGCTTTCAAGCACATGTGAACGCAAAGTTAAAAGCAAACATGTCAGCGCTCTGGAAAACAGCTATGACCTCTGAGGCAGACAACGGGGGCACCCCCCGGTATTTGGATGACTGCAGAGGGTGACCATGTTTGGTCAATACACTCAGCTCATCAGTTCTGTTGCAAGATACTAAGTGATAAAGACTAAGAAAAGTGCATCCAAAATATAACTTCAAGGAATGTTTCCCAAAATACACAGCTCCATGCTGGAGAGGGGCTGAATAAAGTGGGATCAAGTTGGGCCACAATTCAGAAGCGAACAAAACATTAAATTATGCACTGAATAACAATACTGGGGCGAAAACATGTAAGACGAGACAAGACTTGCCAATTCACTGGAACTGTTGCATCATCAGGTATTACTTTACAAACTGAAATCCACTTAAAGGTTTCTGAAAAGGGGTAGAAAGGTGATTCCTTTTTCCCATTATGCCCTTATCAACATGAATCAACTGTTTTTGTGCTAGATACAGAGGCCTGAATGTCTCTGCGGCAAATAAGGCAAGCGAACAGACAGCAAATTGCCCAATATGTTTCAGCCACAGATATTCCATCTCACAGACTGCTCTAGAGGCCTTGTGGCGAGGCTTTGATCCACTCCCTTCAGCTTGTAGCCCTCAGGAGCCACAGACTAAATCAAAGGACTCAAGTCCATATTTATGCCATAAACCTGCCCCAGAACATCAGTGTAGGCTGTCTTTGTGCCTTGTATCTTTTTGTTGAAAAAGCACCAAGCATAACATCAGTAAATCGTCAACTAATTGGGAGCATTAATGACCAATATAAGAACATAACTGCCACTAGTCATAGACACTGCTGAGATCATGCTGTTGTCCTTCAGTGCGTTTCAGTGGTGTGACTCACCATCGTTGGTGTGTCTGACGCAGTCCTGGAGGACAGCTTGCCACTTCTGCTGCTCTTTCTCCGTCACCACACAGAAGTAGTAGTGCCGGGCATAAGGGTGCCAGAGGATCAGAGGGAACTGGGTGGCACACTTTAGGAAGGGTGAACTTCCCATCTTGGCTTTCACCCCTGGAGAAAAATGACAACATAAACACACTGAGCAGTTAGTTTGAAGTTCAGAATTACTAAAGCATGTTGTGTCAAGATCCAATCATTCACAGGATGCTGTGCTGAATTCTATTATATGGATCTAAAATGATGCACAAGACATTTTCAATTTTCAGTTTAGAAATGTGACCATTGTGACATTTGTATAACCTTGCTGGGCATCTGGAGTAGCAAGATCGAGAAATCACACGAGTATCCAACCATAGTGGTTAGGACCAATCAGTGTCCTCTGAGGAACTACTGGCAGTTACGGCCTGAGCTACGGTTGTAGTTTCTGTGACTGATTTTGCTCTGCTCCTGACGGGCTTCTGTAAGAATTTGACTATGTTACGTGGTTTGTTAATCTGATTGATTAGCTCATTAGTTCATTGAAATTCCAGTTGAGAACCGGTTCCAAATGGTCAGATCCATTAGAATTGTATGCGTCCGAGCTTATCAATTCCTTTTATCAATGCCGGGAGGTTTTCTGACAGTTGCGCATTGCAGAA